AAGACAACATTATGAAATGGGTGAGCTAGACAAGGACAAGAAGGCACTTTCGGTTCGCTAACTTTTCTGTGGTTTCTTGAATCTTTAGAGTTTTTGAGTTTCTTTGCTAGTCGGTGTTGGCTAAGCCAATGGTGTCTCATATCAAAACACCTCCTTTTTTGGCTGCTTCAAACAGAGATAGACTACCAGCGTTTACTTTTTAGGGGATTGGCCTTGTGCAAAGTGGCAAGACACAACTCAGAACAACAGAATAGGTGCGTGCGACAAGTCAAAAATTTGTAATAGTTTTCCAAATTTTTACTGGATGGCGTTCGATAACGACAAAAAATTATCCAACACACAAAAAATTGAGAGAGCAAGCGTTCATTTTGATACAAGAGAAACGTTCATTTTGTACTGGCAAAATTTTTGTCAGCAAAAATTATCCAACACGAAAACATATGATCACAAAACATTTGGTTGCAATTTTTGTAAACAAACAAAATTGCATTTTCCGAGTTTTGGTATTTATATGCTTTTTGGCTGCCTGCTATGTGACTTTATGATAGCGCCAACTAGTTTTTACTTCTAGAAATGTTCCTGGCGAACATTGAACGTTCACTTTCCTTTTTTCTCTATGGAGGCAACATGAATTTCAGTTTGTTTACAAATAAAACATAAACAAAGTCAGCTGGTGTGTCTTCTTCTTCCGGTTTTTGCAAGTAATGGCTAATTTCCTGTTCGTTAACTTTTTTGCTTTTTCATCTCTTTGGGAGAGAATTTTCGCTTACTCTATTGATTTTGATTGTTGGCTAATTTTGTTATCGAACGCAGCTAATATGTACAAGGGTTAAATATTATGTACAAAAGGCAAACTCGACTCATTTAACTACTGAAATCTCACCACAAATCGTTTATTAGGAAACAGTTCCTTTTGCTGAACAGCTTACATGCGAGTTTGTATATTTACATACTAAATAAAAGTTAAGCACAATTTCAAATTCAGTCAGAAACTTTATTTAACATTTAGATATGTAGCCATGTAGATATACGTACATACTTACATACATATCCATCTGTATTAAAGAACATATTTTTTCACTTTATCGCCTTGCAGTTTACTTCAAATACGCCCCACTAAATTAGATTTGACTTTACTAACGACTAAATTTGACTACTTTCGTCAACGAATATGTGTATGTACATACATACATACAAACACATGTATGCAAAAAGGTACATATTTATTTATAATCAAATAACAAAGCGCCACTTAGTTTTCAATAATCGTATCCTAGTGCTTGCATATATGTACAAACATATCTACATATGTAATTTAAATATTGCTTTTGTATAAATAAATATTCATGTAGCACCAGCTTTTCACACGTAATTGTCGCCTGATGATATTTCCCGACTTTCAATGACACTCCTGTAGTAATGCGCCGAATTTTTGGCAACACGTTCTTTATTCTCACTTGTCATGTTCAGGTAATAGAGACCAAACTTTTCACTGCAACGAAAATGAACGTTTATTGTTGATTTAAGGTGTCGCTAGCACGCAATCGCAAAGCGCGAAAGTGTTGAAAGAGGGAAAAACTAAAATTAAGCATTTACTTACGTAAATCCCTTATTCCACTCGAAATTATCGATTAAACTCCAATGGGAGTAGTGTGTAACGTTGCACCCATCGTTGATTGCATTCAGGACAGCCCGTAAATGTGTCTGCAAAATATAAAATAAATCTAGGGTCTACACTAGGGTGCCGCATGACGAAAATTTGCCGCTTTTCCAAGCAGATAATAAAATATGGAATTTTAGCTCCCAATAAAATATTTTGTTTCAATTCGGCACTAATCGTAAGCTGAAGCACATTGAAAATCCTTCTGAAACTCGCATTATTTTATTTTTATTTTTTAGCTGGAACACTTCTAACATCAAATAACCCTATAGACGAGTGTTTCAATAAAAGATCAGCATCAAAATAAAAAAAAAAACTGTTCACCTCTTCAAAATAACGACATTTTTAAGCTTTTCAGTATAGTTTTCGTGGAAATTTTATCAACTCGGCCGTATATTAACCAAATTTCGAGGTAAAACGGAAAAGGTTTTTTAGTTCAAACTAATGATAGTTTTTAGTTTTGGCTTCTTTTAAATGCATTTTTTAAAGTGTTTGATAACTTTAAAATCTTTGGGCTGATTTTCAGTTTCGCATTGTTTTTTTTTTGTTGAAACATCCTAGGATTTTTCGGCAAAACAAAGAAATGTCTGAAGTTTTTGGGGCTTGAGTGGTTTAATTAAAAAAATCGCTGATACTGTGAGAATGAAAAGTAAATACCAAAGAACTGATGGCAGAATTTTTGAAAAAAACTTTTACATTTACATGTTCCCATTATTTAGACTATTTTCTCGGGAAACATTTTGCGATATACATAAATTAGAGTTGTGATAAACGCGACGTTTGCATGCAGTTTTAAGGAAAGGTTGGAGTTATAAAATTCGCTGGAGAAGGAGAATCGCTTTTCTTTGTATTGATTGTGAGGCAGCCTAGTGTATGCAGAGCTGGGTCGTAATGATTCCTTTAGGAATTAAATTACTCCCAATTTTAAGGAATTTCATATTGTAATTGGAATAAATTACGTGCTAGTAATGTAATTTTTTCCAATTCCTTTGAAAGGAATTGAAAATGTAATTGATTTTTTTTTCAGTTCCATTACCTGGAATTGCAAGAGTACTTTAGTTTTTTCAATTACTCAAGGAATTGTAAAAGTAATCGAGAAACTGAAAGTTCATTCACGAATGCAAAATGTGCATTTTTATAGATACGCAGGGATTAGTTCAAGAGAACAGCAGCGCCCAAGGCAGCAACAGTCCGGACTGTTCTTCACTGAAAGGCGAGCATGAAAGAATTCGGGCGGGTTATGCCTGTTTTGACATTTACGGGTCTCATCTGCCGCGAAGCGCGTTCGCGGTAGGATCTGGAAAATTTAACTAGGGTAACTGACAGTTTAAGCTATGCAGCTTTTTTTAAAATTCCAATTAGTAATACTACTTAGTATAAGTTATTTATTCTAGGCAGTTAGCAACCAAGAAATTTAACAACAATCAATCAACAGTAAAATTTTTTTTATACATTTTTCGATTACTTTTTAAATTACTTTGAGGAATGGAATTCGAAAAAAATCAATTACATTTTCAATTCCTTTCAAAATGATATTGTGTGCAACTCCTGTTTATTTATTTTAAATAATTTTAATTTCAAATATAGTTAGATTTATACCAGAAACCACAGAAATCAAAATTTCAAAAATTGCACAAAGTTCACAAAAACGAATCTAACATCAAAAAATTGTCATCAAAATGTCAAATCCTTTATACAGAATGGCCCGTAGTCATAGTCAAAATAAAGTCGACTTTAAAGTTAGTTNAAAAAGCTGCAACTAACTTTAAAGTCGACTTTATTTTGACTATGACTACGGGCCGATGTTTAGAAAATTTTCGAGTATGCAGTTTTATAGAACATTCAATTTTATTATAAAAAAAGTGCAAGTTTCAAGCCACTTAAAATTACCGTTGCTTTTATGGAATTTTTTTGTCAAGGGTGTTCAGCATTTTCTTCAATGTAAAGTATGAACAAAATCTATTTTTATAACAAAGAAAATGCGCAACATCCTCGACAAAAAATTCTAAAAAATCAGCAGTAATTTTTAGTGACTTAAAACTTGCACTTTAACTTTACTAAATTTGAACGGCAACAAAACTGAATACTAGAAAAATTTCTACAAATTCTAAATAAAAAGTTGGAAATTTTGATGCAAATTTTTTGAAGTTTCATTCATTTCTGTGAGCTTTGTGCAATTTTCGGATTTTTTTTTCTCTGGTTTCTGTTATATGTAGATCGAACTATATTTTATCTGAAACAATATCATTTTGAATTTTGATGTTATTATTTTGACCGCTGCCGTATGCAGATGTGCATAATAAATATACATGCACAAAAGTAGATTATAGGCGGCATACACGGTGCGTCTGACTCGCGAGTCATTTATGTACGTGTTGACTCGCCTTCGACTACACACAGTTGAATCATTCAGAGACATTCCAGGAGTCATGGCGGTGTAACTAACAGATATTTATTTTTGCAAACACATTCAAACCGACTCACGAGTCAGACGCACTGTGTATGCCGCCTATTAATAATGGTGAACATATACGCACAAACATTTTTACGTATGTCTATTCAATGTACATCGTACATTAGTGCGGATCGGTCCCCATACAAAAAAAAAAGTTTTTCCAGTCCACCCCTAGGATTATAGATATTTTGAAGGCGATCCCAAAAAAAAATTTTTTTTTTTGCCACGCCCCCCCGATGGGCTATTTCCTTTTTTTGACATTACGTCGCCATTTTAAGTCCGATTTTAATGAGCCGTACACCTTTGTTCATGGCTTGGNTTGGGGTATAATAAAACCGGCTGCTAATGGTAATGCCCACTTTGCCTCGTTGCGAGTGGAAATATTTGGCTCTGTAAAGGCGATAAGCAGATGCGTGAGCCCGCAAAGTATTGTCCATACATAAGTAGTCTGCCACTCCCGGTGCATGGATCATTGGTGGGTAATTCGCATTGCCATAGCCTGGTACACAGTAGTCAAAGGGTTCATTGAATGTAATCCACTTCTTGACGCGATCACCAAAAGTTTCAAACAGAAAATCTGCATAGGAGCGGAAGTACTTAATGACAATATCATTGGTAAAGCCACCGAATTTTGACAGCTCTTCGGGCGTATCATAGTGGAACATTGTCACCATCGGCTCGATGTGGTTCTCCAATAACTTGTCGATAACCATGTTGTAGTAGTCAATTGCCTTTTGATTTTTCACCGAAGTATCTGCGTAGGGAAGCACTCTACACCATGATATAGAAAACCGATAGAAATTGACCTTAAACATAAGACTTATTTAGCGTGAGAGCTTTCATTTAATTCGACGCATTTTTTTGCACCTTAAGTTCTTTGAGTGCAACCAAATCCTGTTCGAAGCGATGATAAGATTCAGCGGCGTTATCTCCGTTTGAATGATCGGCTATTCGTTCTGGATGCGTGTGAGTGTATATATCCCAAATGGAGGGCGCCTTACTGTCTTCGTTCCATGCACCCTCGATTTGATAGGCGGCTGTCGCCACCCCAAAGGAAAAATTCTTAGGAAATTGCTTGTTGCTTGTTGATGGCTGAATTTGGTTTCTGATCCATTCATTTACGCACTCCACGTCGGCAAAAGATATGCAAGAAAGTATCAGACTGGAATGTAGGTATACAAAAATATGTATGTACATACATATATGTATTATTTACTCGTATACATATGTATGTATATATAAATTAAAAGAAGTGCATCCACAAATAGCCGACTAGAAATTACCATAGTATAAAGACGAGATGATGATTCCCCATTTCAGCTGCAATTATCAATACGTGCAGAAGCAATTGAAGCTGTGTGGTTGGTTTGGGTTGAATGATTGTACTGTTTAATAAGAGTGCAGGCGCTGATAAGAAATTGTTTGAATATTCAGTGTTGTCGCATTAATTCATTTAAGCGCAAAAATGCCTATGGGACAGGCCAACTTGTGGGACTGTGCAAACTCGTGCGATATGGTGCCTGAAAGTTAAAATTGGGGTGCTGTGAGCACTGCTAAAGAAAATTACAATATTTTTTCATAAAGAATAAAGTGTAACTTACTGCTGAATGTCAGAGCCGTTATAGTCTAAAGCTTGAAGCAAGCTACCAAAAGTAGACTTTCAGTGATTAAACCAAGGGGGTTCATTAAAAATACTAGCTTAAGTTTTAGGTGCGTATGTACTCGTTCCCCTCTGCTACATCTCCGTAAAAAGTTTAAATATTTTTGGAGATTTTAGTTTTTGAAATCAACTTTAAACATTTGGAATTTGCATTTATTGTGTATCACAGTCACTTGACATACCAATTATATTACAAATGTGTATCATCACTACTAGGATACCATAAAAAATTTGATAATTTTCCATTCTGGTTTGTTTCTTAAGTCTTTTGATTCGACTCAACAAAAAAATCCACAAGGTAATATAGGTAGGCCTTCTCAAGTGAAGCCATTCTAAAAAAATTCCCAATGAGGTTACTTCCATACATATACATATGAGTGATGTCGACGCTCATTTCCGCTCGTGAAATAGAAAGTCAATTTTCGGTAACACATGCTTTGCTTTCACTAGTTGTATTCTTTATTAATAGAATGACCTCTAGCTTAACTTAGGGAGGTCATCAGCCATGTCTTCACATACAGATCTACCAGTCTGTCTTTTGTCTGACTGAGCCACTTCCCTAAATTCTCATTTACGTACTTCCAGCTCCGCGAGAGAGATTTTTCTAATTTGAAGATAAAAAACTTTAAAACAAAGTGCTGATTCGTCACTTATATACAGGGTTCAGTAAAATTCGTTTTCAAATAGTTAAAATTAATTAATTTCATTTGTATTTGCGATCTGTGAACGAATTTTATAACAACCATTTGTTTTTGTTGTTGTTGGGGCTCTAAAGCAGAGATTACACGATTTGTATATTTGAACAGATTTTTACCTACTTTTCGCCCTTACAGAGTGCTGTTATTTGGAAAGTTTTTATTGAGCTGATCTGATTCTCGATACAAATTTCTAGACAATACCACTCTATGGCCGGATATGGATGGAAATAGGCGCCCCTTAATATGAGACCAGTGTATCTCAGTAACCTATTCATCAATATCATAAAGTTCTATTCCCACCCAGTAACAAAACACATTACATGATCCTTGTATTATGACAACACTGAGTATATGACAAATACGGTAGGTACTTAAGACAAGAGTCATGGGATGCGTTTTGCCATCAGCGTGGGAATATGGCTGTTGGTCTTACTCAGAAGGATATAGACAATTTTTAGACAAATAAATTGAACAAAATCATGCCTACATATTTAACGGTAAAATGTAAAAAAAAAAACATAAGCCATGAATGCGAACCTCATTGTTTATAATAAAAAAAAAGAAAAACAAATTTTTTGTTCACATTGAAAATCTTCACTTGTCAGCAGTGTGCGAACTTAGTTTTTTTTTTTGCGGTGGAATTGAGAAAAAATGCGGTATATTCGAGTAAAACGCGGTAGATTTCAATTTATTCAACGAAACAATATACGTACATATTTGTGCTCGTCAAATTAAGTAACCTAAATCGAGATAGGCCATAATATTTTAAAGATTGACTAGCTATCTTAATAGAAACGTCATAAAAATATCAAATTTTTCAAAGGAAACTGAATACTTTTTAATTCAAAGTAAAATCATCTAAAGTCACTTAAGCTACTTTAACTGATGGGCACCGATATGTACATATGTACATATCGCTCACCCATGTAGATCCAAGTGCGACCAACTCAAAAAATGTTGACCATTTTTTTTTACATAAATCAATCCAAAGAAATTACCTTCAATGTATGAAAGTATTTTTTTCTTCAAGGTTATATATATACTACGTTTATATTATATTATTTTATGTGAAATTTTTTTTTAATTTTCGTTTAAAAAAATGTCGCCTACGTTATTATGGCGGTAAGGGCTCGATAAAGTATTTAAAAAAAAAAATCATGACGTGCAGTTAATTATGCGTAATATGAGGGAGTATTTTATAAAAAATTTAAATTTTGGATAAACAAAAGGAAAATAGACAAAACTGGCCGAATTAAGACACTTATTTTATTTCTGACACCAGTATTATGAACTTCTTTCAACCAGAAAATAAATTTTTTTATTTAATTTTTTTTTGCATCGAGCTTTTTTCGACATACCTTAAATTGCTTTATCAGATATGAGCACACTAAATGCATATAAATTTAATGACTGTCTTTTGTTTTGTTACTTATGAAATAATTTTCACTTTAAATTAAAAGTACGTTTCAAACCCATTTACTTATTATTTATTATATGGTAGGAGAGCTTCTCAAACCATATTGATGCAATTTTTTCATGTTGAGTCGTTGAAAAATAATAAATATCTAAATCCCGGGACTGATCCCTGATACCTGTTTTTGTATTAATTGCGTCGCATCTGTACGATCCACTAGCAATTATATTTCCCAATCTGAATTTTGAGTTAGCTCACTTTAAATCTAGGTGTGCGATATGTATGTACGTAATACTTACATATAGTACTTATAAATACTAAACATTCAACAATTTTTTTCTTTGACTGGCAAGCTTTTAAAATTATAACATGAACTTAGGAATTAACCTTTTTACTATTTTGTGCATTTATAGATGCACCGCCAAACGTACTCGGAACTATGACCTATAACTAACATTTCTGCCAAAGTTTGTTTTAACTTTATTCGATGTTGCTAAAAAGTTCAGTACTTTACTTAGGGTTTACACCGGACAATATTGTCAAGACAATTATGTCAAAATGATGTGTTGTAAACACGGCGAATTACATACTACAACAAACACATCATTTTGACATAATTGTCTTGACAATATTGTCCGGTGTAAACCCTAAGTAAAACAAAAGGAAACAAAAGTTTTTTTTTTAATTTTCGGGCTTGTTTCGGGTAAATGAGCGTAAGTACGGAATACTCTCACAAAATTGCATAAACTGCCCTAAACCAGTGTTGCCAGATATTCTCTGCTAAATTACCCACGGAAATCGGGAAAAAATCCTTCAATTACCCACATATTAAAAATTTACCCCACAAATTTCCCAAAAAATTCAAAACATATTTTTCAGTAGTAAAAAAAGCAACATTCATATACTTAGTTACCTTACTGCCATACCTAAACAAACACGTTAGCGTTGTCTGGCTGTCAAAAAATTCTCCTGTCCATACAATTTGTATGAAGCATACCGAAACAACGCGGCGTCAACGCTGAGCGGTTGGAAAATCCAATTTTGACAGAGCGTTAGGTATTGAAGTTGGCTGCAGGAAACGGCGAAACTGTCATTTTCGTGTTACACACAAACAAACCTATGCTTATTGTTGGTGTTACTTCTGCATTTGACGTAGCGTTGATGCTTTTGTTTAGGTATGGCACTTCGGCGCTAACGCTAGGCGTCAGAAACCGCTCCACCCAACGCAAAAATACAAATACGAAATGCAAAGGTCGGTATATTACACACCAAAGGCCTTAAAGAATTCTTACCGTTATTTTATATACATACATGTACTACTTAACATTTCATCAGATAATTTGTTCTGGTTTTTACATTAAAAACCCAGATACAATTGGAAAGATTCTTTCTTACTCAGCGCTTGAATTGGTTAAACTAAGAAAAATTTCAAAATTACCCTTATAATTTTTATATTAACATACATAACTTTACTCCACATCACAACTTCAGAACGATTAATTTCGAAAGAGTGTCGACAATTCTTGAATTTTGGTCAATTATGGATTGATAACTGTGTTAAATACTTTGAATACATGAGCAAACTATTAAGCAAATAAAAATTCCTCAAACCCCTTACCCACAATCTGGCATCACTTCAAAAAATTATCGATCAAAGAAACACAGCTATTGTCCGGTTGTTCAATAGGTTTGTTCGTCGAAAATCCAGCAAGAATTATCCAACACTCAAAATATCAGAGAGTAAGAAAAAATTCTCTCAAATTCTCTCTCATGTTGAGAAACTTGCAAATTTCTGCACGAACGCAAATTTGCAGGAATTTGCAAGTTTCCCTGCCAGCTGGCGTCCACGGTTGCATTTCAAACATAAAAAATTTTTATAGAATTTTTAAAATTCTTTCGGATGGCCAAAAACAGGATATACATGTATATTTCTTGTTGTTCTGACTTTCTTTAACATACATTTCAATTTCTTCATCGTACTAGCTGTCGGGTTTCTTAAATCGACTCTGGTTGCAATTGCATTCCGATTGCGAATACCATTTTTTTCAGCCGAATTAAGTTCAAATCATTGGAATTAACTAAATTAATTATATCAACAATTATTTACTTCCTTTTTTCATAAAAAAATCGCTCGTGTTTATAAATTTTTAAATTTAACGAACTAATTTATTCAAATTATTGTAGACAAAAATGCAACCATGCGCCACAACCACATGTTTTTCGTGTTTGCAAATTCTTGCTGGCAAAATTTTTTCCAGCAAGAATTTGCAACTTCTCTCCAAGAGAACTGTCACTTTGCTCTCACAATTTTTGAGTGTTGGATAATTTTTTGGTCTGCACGAACGCGATTTGGGCAAAAATCGTGATAATTCGTACAAATTCGTACAAATTTTTTGCTCGACGAACAAACCTAATAGCTTTACTTCTTAACAGATAATCATCACAACTTATCACTAATTTCTGCTGGAAAGCGTTTCTTAACCCAAAAAACTAGCAGAAACTAGCAGCTCTCTCTCGTTCTTACGCTCTTATTTTTTTGGCTCTCCTGCTAATTTCTGCTAGTAAAATTTTTACTATCTGCTTGAAAAGAAAAGAAACAAAGCCAATATCTGGTTATCACTTCTTGCC